GGCCCAATCAGGACACCTCAACCGCACAGAGTGAAAGATCATTGGCTGAGGAGTTGGGAGATCAGGTTCTAGTCTTGGTCCTGCTGCTAGTTATTTACATGATGTTGGGAGTCACTTAGCTATGTGTATACCTTGCATTTTTATCTGTAAAATGAAAAGGTTAAAAAACATACTTTAAGGTTCATCTTCCTACACTATTCTTCATTTCTTCTCCAGAGAAATTATATTTATAATATGGTTTCATTTATAAGAAAAGTACTAAGTCTCTCTTTCCAGCCCCAACTGCCTCATCTGTCATTTCCATTTAAATACCCCACTAACAGTCAAGAGTTAAAGGTTATATACAACAGTATACAACCTGCTGCTGGTGGCAGGGTAAACTGGTATCACCCTTTTGGAAAGCAATTTAGTAACATGCCTCAAGGTCATCAAATATGCTCACACTCTAGGAATCTATCATAAGGAATGATTCAAACTACAGTTTTTAAATTGCCATAACAAGGAAAAGTTCACTGCCATACATCAAAATGAATGAATGAATGAATGAATAAGAGAACCCCAATGACCTACAGGAGGTATATTATTATGTAAATTGCATTGCATCACTTTGATAAATTACCAAGCAATCATTAAAATGATATTTACAAAGGTCTTTTTATATGGAGATATATAAAATATATATAATTTAATGTCAAGTTAATAAAAGGAACAGTATATAAATCATATATGACATTAAGCATGGAAACAATATAAATATATTTAAAAGACCTGAATGATAGATAAACACAAAAATGATAGTATTTGTTGTTTTGAGATATTATATTATGGGTGGAGGGTATATTTTATTTTTCTCTTAGTTTTCAAGCTTTAAATTATTTTTTTTATATTACTTGTATAATTGAAAGAAATTTTGAAGCTGATTTTACTTCCTTTCTTCCTAAATGTTTGCCTCTTCCTGGCTTCCCCACAGCTATGAGAGACTACGTATCTTCTCAGTCTTTTAGATGCTCTGCCCTAGCGTTCTTAATTTTCTATTTTTCTTTTCCTTCCATCCCTCAAATGCAAATAGTTCCTTAATACAAAGAAATCTTCCCCCACAGTACAGTTGACCCATTCCCATACTCACTTCCTGAAACAGGATCTGAACTATTTACAGCAGAATGCACTCAAAAGCTCCTTCCGAAATAGCTCACATATTTCCCTAGGAGTTTTCTTCCTCACATGTTTAAACATCCTTTCCTTCTTACTTTGCTCCCTATAATCTATCAATTTCCAATGTGGGCTCCATTGTGAGCTTTAATACCCTTCAATCCATAATAATATCCACTAATACATCATTTATTTTACATTTATTAACTTATTTTTCAAATTTCCCTTTTTCAAGTTTTTTTCTATCCAAATGGATTTACTTACTACCCTTGGGTTTCAACAGAGCAAGAAACCCAATATTAATCTCAGAGTACACCACAGAAGGCATTACTCTCCTTATGGTTTTACTGGCACTGAGGATGGGAAATGGTGTCAATGGACAGCAGCATGATTATAGCAACAGCAAGGTATACCAAATCAACCTTGCTTCTTCTTTATTTAAACTTTATTTTGTTGTTGTTAAGAATACAGAGCAAACATGCACCAATTCAACAGTTTCTCCATGTACAATGCGGTGACACTGATTACATTCTTTGAGGTGTGCAACCCCCCAGAAAAACAAAACCACTGCCATCAAGTTGGATACAACTCATAGTGACCCCTTTTTGAGAGCAGATTGCCCAATCTTCCTTCCGAGGAGTGGCTGGTGGGTTTGAACCACCAGCCTTCTGGTTAGCAGCCAAATGACTTAGGCACTATGCCACCAGAGCTCTCAGTGAAGAAGGAAAGATTCTGCTCTTAATCTGTGCTTAACAAGCTGTAAAGCAGAAGAGAGACCAGTCCAACTGATGCAAATTAGAGAAAGACCGATTTTAGCTCAGTGTAGTGAAGAATTTTCCAACATTAGTTTGGTCCCAAAATAGAGTGTTTCCTTACGTAATAGTGAGATGCCTCCTTTGGGAAATTTTCCCTTTAGAGTGTGAAATAAAATTATTTTAATTTGTAGGAGATTTGTTTGAGAAAAGAGAGAAGTCAGCTAGCATGACCTCTCTTCTGTCCCACAAATCAACATGCATGTCTACAGTGAGCATGGGTGGTGCATATGGACAGATGGTGAAGCTGGAAGTTGACCTGCTAACTGAGAAGAGAGTTTCACAAATGTGCTACTGATTAACTAAGGTTTGTAAACACTGTTTTCACATCCTGTGGGTGTTTGAAATGCTGGGATTTGCTAAAAAGGTTGTGCCACTATGAAATGAATTCATTTGCTACCAAAGAATGTTAAGCCAAATGGATTTTTCTCTAACAGTTTCTTGACACCTTGCATGCGTTATCTGAAGCAGTCTTTTATTACTAAAGAAAATACAGGATAAGATGCTGAAAGTCAGAAAAGGGAAGCAATCCTGATTTATGCTACCAGGCTCTGTCTTTGTGGATGTTAAAATCAATTGCCCCAAGGAGCAGAAGAAAGAACATTTCAAATTTCCCAATTACATTTTTAGATCGCATAGCATTTTACGATCACATCTAGAGTAGGGAAGAGTGGCAAAAGATGCGACCCTTTGAATTTAAGAAAGATCATGGCTGTACTGTCATTTCTTAAAAAAGTGTTCACATTTTCAGCTATGTGAAATGCAGTAATTTTACATCAATTTACTATTGCAGTTCACAAAATTAAATTGGTCATATAATTGGTTTTAAATAAAACATCTGATATTTCTTAAACCTAACTAAGGAAAAAGAAAATATATAATGTCCTTTTAAAGTTCTACCTTCTTTAAACTTAATCAGTAGTAAAGACAAATGTAAAGATACAGAAGAATGAACTAAAATCAATTACAAGGTCACTGAATATCTAGTGAGGTCCTTGGGTTGTGCAAATGGCTAATAACAGGGTTGGAAGTTGAAGTCCACATAGAGGTGGCTCAGAAAAAAGCATGGCAATCTAATTCCAAAAGCATCAGCCATTGAAAACCTCACAGAACACAGTTCTACTCTGACATATGTGGGGTCTCCATGAGTCAGAAACAGCTAGATGGCAACTGTGTTATGTGTTGTTGTTGTTAAGCATGCTGATCACTTAAAAATAGTAACTTTGTATGAACTTGGAGTTCACCAAATTATAAAAAGAATGCAATTAAAATGAAAGGATATTTATTAAGGCAAATAATTTTTACTACTATTAACATTTTGTTGTATAGCATTTCTATATAACAAATAATAACCATAAGTTATTCATTAAAGTAGTAATTAGCACTTATTTGATGTTACGGGTGATAGTTTTAGACACTTAAAAGGTTAGCACCAGAAAATACAGTAAAAATAATTGAGAGTATTTATTAACTTTAAGATTTGGAAGCTGTGGCTTAGAGAGGGAAGGTCCTCCTTGTCCAATCCAATGCAGCTAGTTATACCTACTGAGAAGCAAGGTCTAGAACCAGATCTCTCAGTTCACTGTCAAATAATGCCATATTTGACATGCTCTTAATAACACCATAGTCACTGAAACCTGAGGTAAATTAAGTCAAGAGATACTGGATTAAACATCTGGGTTATACAGTTTGAAGTACTTATGTTAGAAGGGGGTTTACAAAAGAAGGCACCACTTTTCTTAAAGAATCCTGTAGCATCAGTAAGAAAGACAAACCAAAACCAAAACCAAACTCACTAACATGGAGTCGGATCCGACACATAGCAACCTTGGGTTTCCAAGGTGGTATCACTACAGAAGTAGTTTGCCCAACCTTCCTTCTGAGGAGTGACTGGTGGGTTTGAACCGCCAACCTTCTGGTTAGGAGTCAAATGTTTTAGACACTACACCACCAGAGCTCTTAGTAAGAAAGATAAGCCTGAAAGTCATCAACACAAGCTTTAAATCATAGTTTGAGATAATAATTCAAGAAATTAAATATATGGTTAGTTTGCATGTTGATGTGGGTACCAAACACTATCAGGAGCTAAGAGGAAGGAAGAAGAGGGGAGGGAGTGGAAAGTGAATTGGATTCTGAAGAGTGAATTTGATTTAGAGGGTGGGAAAGAAAAGGTATCATTACAAGAAGATGAAGCTGTATGAATAGATATAAATTTCATTCATAACTGTAAGGAACTCTCCAAAATTAAAATACTGTGTTATCACTGATACTAGATAAGAGATGCTGTCACTTACCCTAGGGTGACTTTCATTAAGAAGAGCAATTACATGTTTATTTTCTTGTCTGGGTGAACTGGAGAAAAAGATATGAACTGGGAACTATTAATGCTATACTTTATTTAATTACTTACTGACTTATAATCCATAATTCAAAAAGAAATGGAGGCAGCTTTCAAAAATACAGAACATAAATTGAATAAATTATTAAGGAAAATGGTACACCCAGCAGTAAAAGCAGTACACACAGAAAAGCAGACCAAACAGCTGGGATGGTTGTTAGCCAAGGGTGTGGTGGGGAACACAAAGTTAACCAACACCATTTCAGTAATGGAAAGGTTTTGTGTCCATCAGATTAAAACAAAACAACAGTTATAATTCAAGAGAAGTCCAATAATTCCTAATACTGAAACATAAGAGAAATTTCTTCCTTGAGTCCTCAAAAAAGAAGTTGCTGAATAATGTGGATGATAGTTTCAATGTCGCCCTTCC